TTGGTCTACCTATCTAACCCAGTCATGCAAAAGGACTTTGTTGCTCTAAATGGCCATACATCTGACTCCCATTCCCTTCACATACTTCTTGTAAGCTTTCGCCGGAAGAGGGGGGCTCGTGGTTCTTTCGAGTTTGCCACTGTACCGCTGTTATCACAATAAATTGTTATAGTCTAGACAAACTCGGAATCACATCCAAATCTATCAAGAAGTTCCTGAGCCATACCGCCTCCATTGCTGCCTCATAGGCTGCAACATACTCGACTTTCATGGGGTATATATACTTTCATCCATGTCTGACTGAATTTAGATTTCATGTGTCCCACAGGCTCCAAGTTGTCACCCGGTATATCAACATATAATCCTTAGTCATTTGCAAGTACTTGATTGTATTCTTTGCCGTTGACCAATGTGCCTATCCAGGATTACTTTGATATCTGCTGACCATGCATACAACAAAAGAGATATCTGTTCGCGTTCATAGCATAACATACACGAGGCTTCCCACAACTTTTGCATAGGGAAGTAGCTTCATGTCCTCTATCTCTTGTCAAGTCTTAGGAAACATATCATTAGATAGAGGATTCCATGCCAGAAAGGAAGATATCTTCGCTTGGAATTCGACATGCTAAAACATGCCAGGACATTATCTCTGAATGAAGCTTGGGATAAGGAAAGCACCCTCTTCTTGCGATCCCTTATAACTATGATCCTAAGAATATGTGTTGCTTCTCCTACGTTTTATATATCAAATACTTGGATGGCCATACCTATATGTTCAACGACACCTTCACACAGTTGCCAATGAGAAATATGTCATCAACACATAGAACAAGAAAGACAAACACGTTTTTGTTGCACTTCCTGTACACATCTTCTCATTTGGACCCTGAATAAACCCATAAGCTTAGATTACCTCATCGCATCAGATATTCCAAGATTTTAAAACTTGCTTAAGTCCATAAATAGACTTCTTGTTCTTACAAACTAGGTGCTCTCGGCCTTTAGCAATAAAACCCTCGAGTTGCCTCATATAAATGTCTTTCTCAAGAGTTCCGTTAAAGAAAACTGTTTTGACATCCATCTGCCAAATATCATAATCCATATGAGTGAAAATGACCAGAAGAATCTAGATAGACTTAAGCATTGCAACCGACGAAAAGGTCTCCTCATAATCAATTTTCTCTTACTGAGTGTATCATTTTTCGCTACAAGCCTCGCCTTAAACGTTTTCACTTACAGTGTAACCCTCTGTTCCACTTGTAGACCCATTTACACCCATTGGATTTTACGCCACTTAGTGGAAACTAAGTCTCCAGACTTGGTTTAAGTCCGTCGAATTGATCTTAGATTTCATCGCTAGTTTAAAAGAATCCGCATCCTTGTCTTAGAGTGCCTCGTCGTAGGTCCAAAGATCCAGCTCTTATTCACCCAGGATCAAGTCCGAGGACTTTCTCAAGAACATGAACCTATCGGGCTGATGAACAACCCTCTCACTCCGATGAGGTGCTACCGGCAAAGGTGTATCTTGTGTGACACGGGGTGCAGTCATTTGTTATATATCATCTTGCACACGTGATGTTTGAAGTGCCCTATTATCTACTTTCTCTTGGTTTTCTCTACTTGTGGGCTTATGGCTCATGACATATTCTTTCTCCAAACATCGGGCATGCGTGCTAACGATGACCTTCTGATCTTTGTGACTATAAAACAAGCCACCTCTCATTCTTTCAGGTTATTCACAAAAATATGTACTTCGGTACGAGCATCCAACTTGTCGGCATGTGCCTTTAGCACATGTACTGGACTGCCCTGTAACGCAAAATTTCGTATTATTGAATTAATAAACACGAGAAATTCGTACAAATTGATTTTCAATGGATCAAATGAAATATAGTGGATTACAAATCTCTATTATTCCTCTGATTAATTCCTTCAAGAGCGATCTTAAAATAGACTTGAGACTTTTGGAGACTAATCTTCAGTTTGATCTCCGTCAGTCTTGAATATGGATTTAAATAACGTTTCTTCGAGGGCTTGACAGCTTGATCTCGAATCGAACGTTGAGATTTCCCAAGAACGTGAAGAACACGAGTCCTTGGTCTTCGCCGCAAAGTTGATTTTGATCTTCTTTACGTCGGTCTTGACTTGAATAACGTAATTCGGAGGCTTGACAGCTTGTTTCCGGATTAAACGTCGGTTTTTGGCTTGAATGCGCTTGAATCTTCCTTTGGGTCTTCAAGAACGCCTTTGAATCTTCAAAACACTTGAACTTTAATAACGCAATTCGGAGGCTTGGCAGCTTGTTTCCGGATTGAACGTCGGTTTTGGGCTTGAACGTGCTTGAATCTTCCTTCAAGAACGCCTTTGGATCTTCAAGAACACTTGAATCTTGTGGAGAGAATTCTCTAGAGCTCTTGAACTTGAATGTGACTTGTGGACTTGAATATGAATTGTGTTTTTTTTCACCTTAGGGAGGGTCCCTATTTATAGGTGTTGGGAGAGAGAGTCTTGGAAAAGAAGACTTCAATTTGATTGGTCCATAATTTCCAATATTTATCTCTTAATAATTATTTAAAGAGATAATTAGGAGAGAGAGTCTTGAAAAAGAAGACTTCAATCTGATTGGTCCATGAATTTCCATTTATTTATCTCTTTAATAATTATTAAAAGAAATAAATATTTAGTTTACTCTCCAAGAAAATGACATGTGGCATTCTTTAATTGGCCTTCAAAATATACATGTGGCATTCTTTAATTGGCCAACAATATATATTAAATAATCAATTAATTAACTA